GCCTGCAAACCGGCTGTGCCCTTACCAGGAACCAAACCAGCAGCCCCTCTGTGCACACGATGATGCCAACCAACCAAGCCACCCCAGCCAGGGCGGGCAGTTCTCGGTGTGAAAGCTCCTTGGGTAATTCGAACTGCAGCTCAGGTTAGAAGCAGTGGATTAAAGGAGAAAGTATATAAATATCCTGTTATGAAACAGTTTACTTCACCTTAAAATGCAAAACGTTTTCTCCATGCACCACTGTTTGGGGCTGGAGACCAAACTGCCAGAGTTGATCTCCCAGACTGAAGGCACTCCAGCACGGATCTTACGAGCTCTACTTGCTCCGCTCCGCTCTCAAGGGTCAGGTGACAACTGCTGGTGATAGATAAGCCGGATGTGCACTCCCCGGAGTGGGCTATGAGTGTTTCCGTGCTCACGCAACAGAATCTCTGGTTGGGGCCAGTTAGTGGGCCTCCTGACGTCAGAGGCAGTCTGGAATTCATCGTTGAGATCCAGGACTCACATTCAGTACTGGCACATTGATTATGTCTGTGCTTAATAAATGAATATTAATTGAGTATTTGTCCTTGGTATTGTACAGTGTTTCTACATTATCTAATTTAACCAGTTAACTGTCACACTATTTTGAGTTTAATCTAAAAAGGTCTGTCACTTGCATCTATAGATGCTTATGGTTTATTTTTATAATACTCCTGGAAGGCAGATTAGGAAATATAGAGGCTTAGAGAAACAAAGAGACTTAATACACAGAGCTGAGCAGTTAGAGGTGTCTGCCTAGGAAGCCCCTACCTGTGATTAGAAATGAGATTTTAACACAGAGGAAGTCCAGTGCCCAGTTCTCTCCATGGCAATCCAGCCGCTTCTCGGGGTGTGGGCTTCAGAGACCGTAATTCATTCCTTTCGACAATGATTGACACATTTAGAGGCGATAGTTCTAAAAATTCTATTTCTTTGACTTTGTTACTTTTCAGACCCATTCTCAACAGTGTACTTTACATTTTTCTCCTTTGGTGTTTCATAACAGGTTTCATCTTGATTTCCTAATTTAGTTTAGTGTTAGCTTATTCTGGCTAAACCTTAAATTTCTTTTGGCCAGGATATCTTTAGCAGGCTCTGCTATCCAGAGTCTTAAGAAATTAAAATACATAGCTTTGAAAGTAAATACAAGTCATGTACTGACTGCCATTCTTACCAGGACATGTTCATTTGGCATTCCCTGAATGCCTACTGTGTGCAGGCATCCTGCTAGGCACTGGGATAAAATGGTGAGCCAAACAGATGTGGTCTCACACTAAATGGAGCTTATGGAACTTACAGCCTCGTTGGCAGAGGTGGAGAAAAATAAATCCGTCTGTTTTATAGTGGACTTGTTATTGGATGGAGTGGGGCTTCCTTTCCCCCACTGGGTGCTGGGGGGGGGGGGGTGATATCTTGAAAAAAAGAATTTTTGAGACTTGGCATAGGGAGACTGATTTTGATTTGCCTGGAATTATACCCTTGGGTTTCCAAAGTCCCACTTCCCTTGGTCCAGGCACAGAAGACATGTAGCTGGGTTTCAGTAGAGCAAGAGGCAAAGCCAGTGTCCAGAGTTAACTCCCCATATTGGAGCCCGGTCCAATTCAGCATCAGGCTGGCTGCAGTCCATTTATGCATTGTGGGTAGAGTCCGCGTGGCTGTGAGTCATGTGGTTGAGTGGCAAGGGAGTCCCACAAACTCAGAGTCACACAAGTCCCAAGAGTCCTGAGAACAGTAAGAGCACAGAGAGCACAGGAAAGCAAATTCCTTTGTTCAGGGGATTAAAAATCTCCCTGCGCTTGCAGTGGCCACACCCATTCTGGCCAACCATCTCTGCCCCCAGAGGTGTGATTGACAGTAAGCACCTTTGCTAGTCCCCCCAACTTTTTGGGCATGCATCTGTCTCCCCTTTGTTGGACCCTGTGGAATATAAAATTGAAGCTTCCTGGTGAAGCTGCCCAAATGACATGCCCAAAATATCTGGCCTTCCCTTTGCTTCTTCCTTATCCTATCTAATAAAAGAGTAATATGCAAATTGACCATCACTTAACACACAAGATAGCCGCCCCATCTGGTCAAAGATGGCCACCACAAGATGGCCGGCAAGGGAGGGACCAGGCCTGCAAGGAAGCGCAGTTGGGGGGTGATCAGGTCTGTAAAGAGGACTTTTTTTTTAGGGGGGTACCCAGGCCTGTAGGGGAGGACAGTTGAGGGGGACCCAGGCCTGCAGGGGAGGGCAGTTGGGGGGTACCAAGCCAGCAGGGGAGGGCAGTTGGAGATGGCCAGGCTGGCAAGGGAGGGAAGTTGGGAGTGACCAGGCTAGCAAGGAAGGGCAGTTAGGGGTGACCGGGCCAGCAGGGGAGGACAGTTGGGAGAGACCAGTCCATCAGGGAAGGACAGTTAGGGGTGACCAAGTAGCATGGGAGGGCAATTAGGGACTATTGCACAAGCAGGAGAGCAATTAGGCATCAATCAGGCTGGCAGGGGAATAGTTAGGGGGTGATCAGGCTGGCAGGCAGGTGAGCAATTGGGAGCCAGCAGTCCTGGATTGTGAGAGGGATTTGCAACTGCCCTCAAGGGATCCCAGATTGGAGAGGGTGCAGGCTGGGCATGAATTTCATGCACCAGGCTCTTGTCCTATCTAATAAAGAGTAATATGCAAATTAATCATCACTCCGCTACACCCACAAGCCATGCTTACAAGCCATGCCCACCAGCCAATCAGGAGCAAATATGCAAATAAACCCAACCAAGATGGCTACAGCCACAGAGAGCAGGAGGGAGGCTTGGGTTTCCCCAAGGATGGAGGAAGCCAAGCTTTCTGCCTGCCCTGGCCGGCCCAGGCCTCCACTCAAGGCTACAAAGTTTCAATTATAGAAGATACATAAATGCTAACAGAAATGGCTGCTGCCAAGGAGCAAGCAGAAGGCTTGGCTCTGCTCCAGGCTACAAAATTTCAATTGTAGAAGGTAAATAAACATCAGATACTGGGGGCTCCGCTTGCATTGCCAGGGGGCATGGCTGGCCTGCAAACCACCACAGGCCCCTCGCCCAGGCTGCCCCACCCCCCAAGGGAACCCCCACCCTGATCCGGAACACTCTTCAGGGTAAACCAGCGGGCCCTGACCCATGCACCAGGTCTCTATCCTCCTATCTAATAAAAGAGTAATATGCAGATTGACCATCACTTTCAACACAAGATGGCTGCCCCCATGTGGACACAAGATGGCCATCACAAGATGGCCAGCAGGGGAGGGCAGTTGGGGGGGACCAGGTCTGCAAGGGAGGGCAGTTGGGGATGATCAAGCCTACATGTGAGGGAAGCTAGGGGTGACCAGGCTGGCAGAGGAGGGAAGTTGGGGGTGACCAGGCTGGCAGGGAAGGTTAGTTGGGGGTGGGGGGACCCAGGCCTGCAGGGGAGAGCAGTTAGGGACAAACAGGCTGGCAGGGGAGCAGTTAGGCATAAGGCTGGCAAGGGAGTGGTTATGTGGTGATCAGGAAGGCAGGCAGAAGCGGTTAGGGGCAATCAGGAAGGCAGGCAGATAGCAGGTGGGAGCCAGTAGTCTTAGATTGTGAGAGGGATGTCCTGGATTGTGAGAGGGGTACCAGATTGGAGAGGGTGCAGGCTGGCTGAGGGACATTCCTCCATGCACGAGTTTTGTGCATCAGGCCTCTAGTGTGTGTATGTATGTGTGTGTGTGTGTGTGTGTGTGTGTGTGTGTATTTATATATGACAAATATGCAAAATGTCTCTTCAGGAGTTTGAGTGGGAGGCTAGTAGTTTGATTGCTTTCCATGACCTGTGCCAACCACCAGTGCACAGTGAGGAATGAAAGGAAGGCCCCGGCCAGCATCCCAAAGGCCTTAGTCGGCCCTGATTGCCAGCCAGGCCTAGGGACCCTACCTGTGTATGAATTTCATGCACCAGGCCTCTAGTCAATGATGAGAGAGAATCATTGATCAGCTGCCTTCTGCAGTCCCCTACTGGGGACAGATCTCACAACCCAGGCATGTGCCCTTGACTGGAATCAAACCTGGGACCCTTCATTCTGCAGGCTGATGTTCTTATCCACTGAGCCAAACAAGCTAGGGCAGTGATTGGCAAACTCATTAGTCAACAGAGCCAAATATCAACAGTACAATGATTGAAATTTCTTTTGAGAGTCAAATTTTTAAACTTAAACTATATAGGTAGGTACATTGTTATTAACTTAATTAGGGTACTCCTAATCTGGCCTTTTGCTAAAAACTCAAGGGGCCAAAGAGCCACATGTGGCTCTTGAGCCGCAGTTTGCCAACCACTGAGCTAGGGCAATTAAAAAAAAAAATATATATATATATATATAATGGGTAATAGCCATTCATTTTATTTGAAACACGTTTTTAGAATCCTAAAGGATGCTTCAACTATAAATGGTGTAGCCTGTCAGAAGTGCTGAGAAAACATATCATCCGCCATTGCACTGCTGTAAGAACATCTTGCATGCATTCATTATTATGGAAAGGACACTCATGGCACTGTGGTGGTTGTTTTTATTAAATAAAGACTGGTCTGCCCTGGCCAGTGTGGATCAGTTGGTTGAGCATTGTCCCATGCACCAAAAGGCCCTCAGTTCAATTCCTAATCAGGGCACATGCCCAAGTTGTGGGCTCTTTACCTGGCTCTAGTTGGGGTGTGGGCTGTAGGCAACCAATGTGTTTCTCTTACATTGATGTTTCTCTCTCTCTCTCTTTCCCTCACTCTCTCCCTCTCTCTCCTTCCCCCTCTCTCTTCCTTCCACTCTCTAAAAATCAATGGGGGAAAAATACCCTTGGGCAAGGATTGACAACAAAACAAAATAAAAAAGACTGAAGCTTGGTTTTGGTTCAAAAATGAATCGGCAATATGAATCCATAATAGGAAACACTTCACAGTAAAGACAGAAATGGAATATTTCCTTTCAACCATTATCTTAATTTCGCTGATTTTTCACCCTCTTTAGGTGATGTTCTGATTAATGTTGGCCATGCCAATGTGTTGGGATATACGCTTCGGGAATTTTTAAAGCTTTTGCAATGCATCACCACAGGAACAGTGCTGCAAATTGAGGTTTACCGAGATTTTATTGACATACCCCAAGAATGGCAAGACATATATGATTTAATCCCTGAGACCAAATTCCCAGTAACATGGTAAGTGGTTCATATTTGGAAATCTTTGTTATACTACATAATTCTCCAAGGTCCATGAAGCCAAGGGTCTTAGTTTAATATAAAAATTATCGAATGGACCATGGTAGGAGGAATTGGTGACCCTGCTAGAATAATGTCCCGCCTTTCTAAATCCTTTTGGAAAGAACGGTACAGGAACAGACATCGGGAAGAAGGAGAAAGACAGGATCCTTGAACCTGGAGTTACTAAAAAAAAAAAAAAGAGTAAACCATCCAATGAGAACACCGCCTCCAAACACCCACATCACATGTCCCCCTTTTCAGTCCGTCTTTAAAGGTGCTGGGAACCCCATTCCACTTGTTTCCTGCATATCCAGCTGCTCTCTGGGTTCTTCCCAATAACACTTAAGCATTTTTAAGCTCCTGTCATCTTAGCAAACCCCACCTTAACTCCACTGTCCTCTCCTGCTCCCTCTGGCCTCTGTCCTGTCCCTAACTCCAAACTTGTTGGAAGAGCTGTCCCAGACAGGGCACTCCTCTGCTTTAAGTGTACTTAAGATTTAATTACTTCCCCAAGAGATTTAATCACCTTTTATCGTGAATACTAGAGCCCTGGGGCACGAATTCAGGCACCGGTGGGGTCCCTCGGCCTGCAGATAGCTCCCATTCCCCCCTTCTCCCAGCCCATAGCCCCCACCCCAAGTTTTCACTACCCTGTTGCCTGTACCCAAGGGCTATGCATTTGGTTTATCTGTTCTCATCCCCCCAACCCTGTTGGTCAATCCATTTTGTTCAGTGGATGCCACAAATAAGTGGGATCATGTGATATTAGTCTTTCTAGGATTGGCTTACTTCACTCCAAACTCGTTGGAAGAGCTGTCCCAGACGGGGCACTCCTCTGCCCGTATTAGCCTGGGCTTGCTCCCATCATGTGCCCGAGGCCTTTCCCAACCCCCACCTGCACCCCCAACTTTCACATCGCTGATCCCAGTGTCTCCTCTCATCTTTGTTTTGCTTGGCTTCTGAGCATTAGACACTTTACAACCTCCCAACCTCACTTTTTAAAAAAATTTAATAAATCTTTATTGCTCAGATTATTACAATTATTTCTCCTTTTCCCCACCATAGCTCCCTTCCACCCGGTTCCCACCCCACCCTCTGCCCTTAACCCCCCTCCCCCAATTGTCCTCATCCATAGGTATATGATTTTAGTCCAGTCTCCTCCTGCACCCCCACATTCCTTTACCCCTGATAATTATCAATCCACTCCCTTTCTCTGCCCCTGATTCTATTATATTCACCAGTTTATTCTGTTCATCAGATTTTTAATTCACTTGGTTTTTAGATTCACTTGATATATATTTGCTGATCATAATTTTTATTTTTACTTTTTTCTTCTTTCTCTTCTTAAAGAATACCTTTCAGCATTTCATATAATACTGGTTTGGTGGTGATAAACTCCTTTAGCTTTTTCTGATCTGTGAAGCTCTTTATCTGACCTTCAATTCTGAATGGTTACTTTGCTGGATAGAGTAATCTTGGTTGTAGGTTCTTGCTATTCATCACTTTGAATATTTCTTGCCACTCCCTTCTGGCCTGCATAGTTTCTGTTGAGAAATCAGCTGATAATTGTATTGGTGCTCCCTTATAGGTAACTAACTTTTTCTCTTGCTGCTTGTAAGATTCTCTCTTTGGCTGAAACCAGTTTGGCTCAGTGGATAGAGCGTCAGCCTATGGACTGAAAGGTCCCAGGTTCGATTCCGGTCAAGGGCATGTACCTTGGTTGCAGGCACATCCCCAGTAGGGGGTGTGCAAGAGGCAGCTGATCAATGTTTCTAACTCTCTATTCCTCTCTCTTCCTCTCTGTAAAAACTCAAAAAAAGAAAAAAAAAAAGAAAAAAAGAAAAAAGATTCTCTCTTTGTCTTTTGCCCTTGGCATTTTAAATATATTTTGATTTTGTACAGAGAAGGGAGAGAGATAGAGAGTTAGAAACATCGATGAGAGAGAGTCATCGATCAGCTGCCTCTTGCACATGCCCTACTGGGGATATGCCCACAACCAAGGTACATGCCCTTGACCGGAATCGAACCCGGGACCCTTCAGTCCCTAAGCTGACGCTGTATCCATTGAGCCAAACCGGGTACCCTTGGCATTTTAATTATAATGTGTCTTGGTGTGGTCCTCTTTGGGTTTCTTTTGTTTGGGATTCTGTGTGCTTCCTGAACTTGTAAGTCTATTTCTTTCACCAGGTGGGGAAAGTTTTCTGTCATTATTTCTTCAAATAGGTTTTCAGTATCTTGCACTCTCTCTTCTTCTGGCACCCCATAATTCTGATATTGGCATGCTTTAAGTTGTCTCAGAGGCTCCTTACACTTCCTTCAACTTTCTGGATTCTCTTCTCTTTTTGCTTCTCCATAGGAGTGTCCTTTGCCTCTTTGTATTCCAAATCTTTGACTTGATTCTTGCGTTCTTCTAGTCTTCTGTTGAGTCTCTCTATATTTTTTTATTTCAGTCAGTGTATGTTTAATTTCTAGTTGGTCCTTTCTTATATCCTCCAGGGTCTCGTTAAATTTATCGGCTTTCTCTAAGAAATTCTTGAAAAACCTTATAACAGTGATTGTGAACTCTATATTCAGTCTTTTGTTCTCCTCCATATCTTTTGTTTGAGATCTATTTCCTTATCTTCTCATTTTGGCTGCTTCCCTGAGTTGGTAGGGTGGCATTGTGTGCTTGGTGTCCCATGTGGGCTAGTGGGTCAGCCTCCCCAGTTACCTGAGGTAGACACTCTTGGTGCTCCCCTTTGTGGACTGTGTGTACAGCCTTATTGTAGTTAAGTCTTGATTGTTGTTGGTATCACTGGGAGGAATTGACCTCCAGGCCAATTGGAATGACTATCGGCTGTATATATGCCGGGATACCTTCTGTATTGGAGACAGTCTTATAAGATCAGGATTGCAAAATTGCAAAAGCCTCTGTGCTCAGCTTGGATGGGGCAGAGTCTCAGGGATGAGCTGACAGTCTTGCCTTCCAGTCAGTTCTGCCCTTGCGCATGCACCTCAGATCTCTGCCTTCTGCAGCTCCTGGCTCCCCAGAGTCTCCCAGTCTCGGAATCTCCGGGTGCCTTTCTCTACAGTCCAGACTCCACCCATATGAGCCTGGGTCCACGGGGTTTTGGCTGGGGCAGGGGTTCAGTGCAATCAGGGGCTTCCTTTCCCCTCCCGCCAGCCAGGCACTCGGCCGCCCTTCCTCTCTGTGAGCATGTCTCCCTACCTCAGTGCTTTGCAGCTCCCCTGACTCTTTCCTTCTTTCTAGTTGTAGATTTCCCACTTAGCCAGCTTTCCTGTGGTTTCGGATGATGTTCATTCTGTCTTTTAGTCAGGCGTCCTCAAACTTTTTAAAGTGGGGGCCAGATCACGGTCCCTCAGAGAGCTGGAGGGCCGGACTATATGAACTACTAATTCCTACTGTAACACCTCGGCTGCGCTCACTGCCCAAAAAACCTGGCGGGCCGGATCAGACTCCTCTGCCGGCCGCATGTGGCCCGCGGGCCGTAGTTTGAAGACGCCTGCTTTTAGTTGTTTTTGAAATTGTTGTGCGAGGTGGCAGCTTAAGTGCTTACCTAGGCCACCATCTTGGTTTCTCCCCCAACCTCACTCTTGTTGAAATATCACCTGCTTCCCACTGATACCCACTCCCCTGATTCTCCTATGACCTCTGGTCACTTTCTCTTGGTCTCCTTTTCCCCAGCTTTGGAGTCCCTAAGGTTTAATCTTTGGCTCTCTCCTCCCAATCTCCTGGGCAATCTCAATGATCCTTTTGGTTTCTGTTACTATGTCTGCCTCATCAAACAAGTCAGAAATTTAGGGGCGGTCCTTGATTTTTCTATCTCCCTTGTCTTCCCCTTTCCCCAATAATCACAAAGACTTGTCAGTTATCTCCTGATTTGTCAGCTTCTCTCTGGCTACCACCACCATCCTCGTTAAAGCCACTATTTTGTCTCCCTGTACCTACTCTTGTTCCCTGTTCTCTACACAGAATGATCCTTTTACAATGCAAATTGTATTGTGACATGCCTTAGCATCTTTAAGACCTTCCTTTGTTCTTAGGATAAACGGTCCAGTCCTTACGTTGGCCTCACTCCAGCCTCAGTCCCCTGCCCTCCCGAGTCCACTTGGCTCTCAGCTCTTACCTCGCTGCTTTGCTGCAGAGCCTTTGCATGGCCCTTTGTCTGCGACCTGCTCAGGACCCTGCGATGTATTCTCTCAGTCCTGTGTCCTCAGCACTGATCCAAATTGCAATGAAATAATCCTCATAACCAATTGTTTCTGTGCTGCCTGGGGGAGTGCGAACTCAGTGAAGGCAGGGACAGGTCTGTCTGTTATGCCAAACTTGCCACAGGACTTTCTGTGATTGAGAGCCCAGTTACTCAGTGAGTGAAAAGTTACATCCAGCTTTGGAACTCTGGCAATCATTTAATCTGAGAGCTTGTTCTTATGTTAGCACAGGAGCACGAGAGATCCTCTGAGGACCAGATACGTGAGAAGTTGGGTAGAACAGGAGAACATCTTCAGTGAGCAGCTCAGTGCTGACGCAGGAGTGGTCCTTATGAGATCCTGACAGGTCTCCTGAGTGCTCGTTGCTGCAGCTCTGAACCTTTATTGGGATGGGCCAAAGGGACCTGGCTGGTGCTCAAATGTGTGGTTCCATGTAGCAGCCACCAGCCACATGTGGCTATTAAGCACTTGAAATGTGAGGATCTGCAAATGAGGAGCTGTAAATTTTATTCATGTTTAATCTGTGTAAATTTAGCAGCCACACCGAGCTGGTGGCCTGGTACTGGGGAGTGTTTCTTAAGCCTGGGCTGTAAATTATTTGCTCATACAACTACTGTGCTCTAAGCATTATTACAGAGTCTGAGATTCAGAATACTGAAATAGCACAACTTAAGTGTGAGACTAAACCCCCACAGGAAAGGGCTGAGGGTTCGATTCCTGGTCCCAGGCTGGGAAACAACCAATCGAAGTCTCTTTCACATTGATGTTTCTCTCTCTCTCTTTCCCTCCCTCTCTCCTGCTTTCTGTAAAAGAAATCAACAGAAAAAATATCCTCGAATGAGGATTGAAAAAAAAAAAAAAGTAACTTTCATTCACTATTCTTTTATTTCCAGCACAATGAAGAAAACTGAGCAGGCAAAAGATGACTTTCTCGCAAGCAGTGATGACAAGGAAGATGTAGTTTTAGATAAAAAACTTAAGTATTATAAACGCCCCCAGTCCACTGAGCATCAGCCTGCAAGGAGACCTGTGTCCATCTCCAGAGAATGGCATGAATACAAAAAGAAGGATCGGCCTGTCAGCGTGGGAACAGACCTTCAGTGTGACATTGTGGTTCACGGAGATGAGAAGGAAGTGAGAGCCCCTTCCCCGTACTGGATGCTGGCGAAGCAGGACAGGGACAGCTCCTCCTCCTCCTCCGCCTCCTCCGCCTTCTGGCTGGAAGACTATGCCCAGGCCGAGAAGGATAAGGGCCAGCCCGCACCGGGCGTCGGTTAGAAGTTGGCCAGTGTGTGCTCATGGAGCATTCGCACAGCTTGCTGGGCTCACAGGAATGTGTGCACACCCACCAATTCTTTGACTTCCCGAGTGCCACAACAGGCCTCACGCAGCTTATTCTCAAAGCAGCTCACTCAGATCACTGCGGTGCTCCTTTCCGAGAATGTCAATGCCAGACAGGGTAAACACAGTAGAGAATTTCGCTTTTTCAGGAAAGTACCACATTATTGTTTAGATGTGCAGTTTCTCGTTTTACAAACTTCAAGTGCCCTACTTAATAGGAAAAGTACTTTTTTTGGCTAGTTGTTCATATTAGAATTTTTTCCTTTTCTGCCCCACTTTTATTTGAACGTTGGGCTGGTAGTTAGTGAGGGAAAGCTCAGCTCTGCGTAGTGAAGGGAAGGCAGACATAAAATGAAGCAGTGGGAACACAGGGCACAACTGGTGGGGAATTTATGTTTTTCAGAAATAACTCTTATTGTGCCCTGGCCCATGTGGATCAGTTGGTTGGGTGTTGTCCCAAGCACTGAAAGGTTGTCGATTCCTGGTCAGGACACGTGCCTGGGTGGTGGGCTGATCCCCAGTAAGGGAGGTGCAGGAGGCAGCCAATCGTTTCTGTCTCCCTTTTTCTTCTCTTAAAAAAAAATGAGAGTAATGACTCTATTGCAAAAAGGCAAAAAAAGAGGGTAAAACCCAGCCCATTTAATTGTTTTTACCTAAAAGGAGAGATTTTTAATTGCTTTTATTTTTTAAAAAGCCACCAATACTAGTCTGGAAATATTTACTGGTAGCCGCTCACCTTACTTGTAGTAATTTCTCGCGCTGTTATATCCCGTTGTCCTTCACAACATCTGAAACAGGCTGCAGTTCCGTCGGGTCCGGCTCTTGCCGTCTCCTGTGACTCCCGGATCATGGCTCTGGGTGGCTGTCTCTGATGGAGGGTCAATGGCGTGAAGGTGCGTAGCCTGGACACCAGAGTAGGTGGTGAAGTGCAAGGAGATCCTGGGGGTGATGTGGCCGCCTTCGTAAAGCAAGATGCTGCCGGCCAGACTGCCTGGGCCTGTATGATGCAGCCTCCGAGGCCGAGGAGGGCAAGGGGAGCTGGTTTATCTGCTGGGCCGAGTCTGCACCAAGAAGCAGCTTACGAGGATCAAGCATGCATTACAAGCAAACTGCCCCCAGGAGGAGGTCCGCTGGCCGCTGGCCGAGAAGCTGGGACAGAGCTGCGGTCTCCCTGGAGCAAGCCTTCGAGAGCCCTCCAGCCCTGCCCGGAGCGCCTGGCAGCCCCTCCTGCGGGATCCAGCAGGGGGAGGACTAGCCCCTCACCAGGCGCCAAACAGGGTCCCCCCCCCCCCCCCCAAGACCTGACGGTTCTGGCCTTCCCAAACCCCTTTTGGTATTTTCACTCCCTTTGGGTTCAAACAGACCAAGTCCCCCCACCCCAGGTACCCCAGTTTTGGAGAGGGCCTGTATTTTTTTAAATGACACCCCTACTTGCAACCTGTTCCTTTCCCAGGCTGCCAACTTCTAACTAGAGTAGTGACCCTGCGGTGACTGTCCAGTTGTGTGTGTAAATGGAATGCTGGGAAGATAACCCTCCCCACGCCACCTGGTTCCCCTCTCCCTTCCACCTGTCACAGCCACTCAGGGAAGCAGGGCCAGGAAGGGGCTCTTAATTAAAAAAAAAAAAAAGAAAAAAAAAAAAAAAAAAAAAAAAAAAAAAAAAAAAAAAAAAAAAGGAAAACAAAAACCAAACCAAACCATGTCTGCAGAAAATAAACTTGTTGATTAACTGATTAGGAAAAATGCCAAGAAACACTTAGAATATTTTATTGACTTCAGGTAAGGAGGGAACAATTTCTTGCATGTATACTTTTTAAGGTATTTCCCCTCACTGAAAACCAAGACAAATGTTACATTACAGACGTGGAACTTTCATGTTTGCTGCCCTGGATTGAGAAAATGTCCAGCTCTTTCCTACAATGTGCTTATGGCTCATAGCTCATCCACAAAAGGTGTATGCCCCAAATTTCCGCTCGCTGCCATTGACTTCTTGCCAGAAACAAACTTCTTTGCAGCCTTTGAGTAAACAAACAAAAGGCAGGAAGTTAAAGTAAGACCATGCACTGTCATGTACTTAAAAAGCACTTATTCTGTTCCTTCAAGACCTTATGGACAGGACACTAAGCCGCTAGTGAAGCTGAGCTACAAGACAGGGCGGGTAGGTTTCAAGTTGAGGAAAAGCTCAGTTGTTCCTGTGAGCACCTGGTCACCCGTGTGACTGGGCGAGGGGTGCTCTCTGTGAGGAGTAAGGACAGCCTCACTGGCATTGCAAACAGGGCGGGCTGTGGACTTCCTGTTTCTGTATTACGAAGGCAAATGGTCTGAGTTAATAAAAACACACTGGTTACTAACTGAAAAGCCACATTTCAGTGTTCTTTATACCACGACCAGGTTGGTGCGGTTACGTGTAATACCATGAGTATCCTCCACATGGTCTCAGGCACCTTTTCTCCAAGGACAGTGGTGGTGGCGGCAAATGAGGACAGACGCTTGGAAGAGCAGCCAAGTGAAATGTCAGGGTCACTGCCTTAACATAAACTGTCTTTTTCCTATCCCCATGGTAGACCTATTGTTGAGAAGGTTCAGGCCTCTACAATGGAAGGGCGGCTGACATTTTTAATACAGAAATGACTGGAAAAATCTACTGACTTTGGATTTATTCTGTAGATCATGTGCTTGTTCGGCATATTAGGGATTACAAAGAGAAGCTAGAAGACATATTCCTTGCTCTCAAAACAACTCATCTTTGAGTAGGAAATAATATATATGAAAAAAATATAGCATGAGCAGGAGAATGTCTTAAACTGTGAAGACAAAAGAAAATCTTGAGATGCTGGATCGGGAAGGGTTGGCAGGACAGAGTTTGTTTCTGGGGAGTGAAAAGAAAAAATACCCACCTTGACTATTAGTCTGAATCGTAAAATTGCCAATATTTGATTTTTCTTGACCTCTAACAATTTAAAATGTTTAACCTAATGGAAATTTAGATAACTGAGAAAGAAACATAAATCCCAAGTTGACAAGGAAGCTACTTGCAGGTCTGATGGTGCTGAGCCTCCTGCCTCCACACCAGGTGGGAAGGCACCCGCAGCTCCAGAGTCACACACACAGCCCAGGGAAGCTGAGCGTGCCTTCTGAAAAGGGGTCACTAAAGGCCAAGGTACCAAAGTTCAATAGTAAGTGCTCATTTGCTTACGCTTATAACGTCACTGTCCGCTACTGAGTCAATCTGCTGAAGGACTGCGGGCGGTGCCACGTAGGAGCCAGCAACGAGAGCCTGCGACCCGATTTCGTCCAGGAAACCTCCCGAAGACTCCACAGACATCAGGTACCCAGCTTTCAGCTTGTTCCTGTCCAACCAAAGGCGATGAATTCAGAAGCCAGTTTTGTAGAGAAAGGTGATTTTATAAGTGTTCCCAAACTCTCAAAAATGTTTTGTAAATATGCAAAATTAACAACTTTGAAATCTTACAGTGCTAAAAATTTCCCTTCTATTTCTTCAGCCCACCAATTATTCTATTATTTACATTATCATTTAGGAAATTGTCAATACAAGATTATATGAAAAAACCCAACAGATTGCCTTTTGACTTTTGGACTAGAACTTAGATCTAATAGAAATTATTTTAAAGTTCTGATTAATGAAGTAACTCTTAATACCTACTTTTTTGGTGATAATTTTAGGCAGTGCTATTAAAGAAAAATGTATGGGCTCTTAAGGCACTGTCAATTCTGTGGCTATCTTCCTAATCCCAGCCCAATTTCTATCCTGGGATTTGTACCATTGAGGGCAGGCAGTAATGCAGAGGCAGGTGGGTTAAGACAGTATAGGTCTTATAAATCCCAGCAGATTCAATGCGGGCACAAAAGCATCAAATTGAGGTAAAACCAAATCTAATTCACAATTTTCCCAGAAAGAAACTGGTGTTTAATAAGGCACCTGAGTTATACAACTCTCAAACTACCTTCTTTTGCCATGCTGTACCAAGACTTCCATTTAAACATAATTACAATTATATGCAATTTTATCAAATTGTCAATTAAAAGAAATTTTACCTGCAATAAACTTGACCAAGAGATTATTAGTTTGTCCCTTCAGAAATGACACCTTACTTTCTCTCTCTCACTACAGGAAGATTAAGAAACTTATAAGAGAAAGTATCAACTCTATCTAGATGGCAGAAAACAAACTTAAAAAAACTACTAGAGGCCTGGTGCATGAATCTGTGTACGGGTGGTGTCCCTCTGGGTGGCCTATATGACTGGGCCAAAACCCGCGGTCCAATGCTGCCTGCCGCTCCTGCTCATCCTGTGCCCCACTGCATACGCAGTCCCAATTGATTGTGAGAGGCTGGCGCTACTACCAGCCCTATGTCTGGTGCCCTCCCAAGGGGAGTGGCCTGCGGGATCAGGCTGAAACCGGTTCTCTGACATCCCCCGAGGAGTGGCCAGGCTGAGGGACCCTGCTGGGGAGGGATCATGGGAAGGCTCCAGGGCAAGTCTGGCCCATCTCGCTCAGCCCCAATCAGCCAGACCCCAGCAGCAAGCTAACCTATTGGTCGGAGCATCTGTCCCCTGGTAGTCAGTGCAGTCACAGCGAGCGGCTCAGCAGCCTTAACATATCATTAGCATATTATGCTTTGACTGGTTGTTTGGTGGTTCTGCTGTTCAGATATTTGCATATCATTCTTTTATTATATAGGGTTTTTATTGATTTCAGAGAAGAAAGGAGAGATAGAAATATCAATAATGAGAATCACCGATCCACTGCCTCCTGCATATCCCCCCCCACTGGGGAATCGAGCCTGCAAGCCGGGCACGTGCTCTTGACCGGAATCGAACCTGGGACCCCTCAGTTCGCAGGCCGATGCTCTATAAACTGAACCAAATCAGCCAGGGCAGAAAACAAACATTCTTGACATTAATAACCCAAAATTCCACTTTCTACAGGTTGCCACACCTTATAAAAATTGCTATATTTATTATTTGAAAGGCAATTTCTTAGTGTGTTCAGTATGACAAGAGTAATAATATGAACGAGAACAGAAGTGACCAATCAGGTGCTTTCTCCTGGCTTGTATTCACTGTTATACTTCTTGCGTGGGCAACACTTAGCACCCTGCTGACCGGCTATTTCAAGTCAGAACTTCTGCATTACTTTTCCCACAACTGAATATTAAATGAAAGTATCTAAAAAAAACTTAAATGTACTTTATTTTGTCATATATTATATTTTAAAAATATTTTTGGGTGTAATTTATTGTATAACATGTATTTTCATGCAATGGTACTAACCAAGTTTTACATTCTCATTGTGTTTCACTATGCTTTCCCTTAGAAGAACATACTTTATATGCCCTAGTGAGAGATCTTTTTTTTATCACTGGGTACTAGTTTTGGTAAAACATGATCTTTAAATTTTCCTGGGAATCTGAGTGGCGGATCTTTATTTGGAGCTCTTCTAGATATAATGGAAGAGGTGCGAGGTTGTGGGCTGCATTCA